ACCTTGGTTGACTGAGTTTGAAAATCATGCAAAACTCGAATAAGCCAAGGAGCTATCGTAAGGAAAAGTCAATTCGCTCTAATTAAGCGCTTCAATTTTAGACTTTAACGCCACAACACTTCCTTACCAGAGTCAATCATACATTATGGCAGTCAAATTTGAGCTACTTATGGGGTTCGAGAACGCGAGAAATTGGGTGATAACATTTGTTTTCAATAATTTGATATTTTTTGATATTTACGACTTGAAGAACAAACAAAAATGAGCAAAATAGCCCTATAACAAGTAAATTCATAAATGTAAAATACAAAGGTAACGAGTATAAAGACTTGCCCCGACTCCTTGTGGATTTGTCGGAACTCCCATCGGATACTGTTGAAATCCATATGGATTCATAGGTGTTTGATACGGCTGATTCTGAGTTTGAGGCGGTGGCATTTGAGGGTAGGGCATGTTGGGTGTTGGTCCAGCAGAGGGAATAGGTTGGAGCGCTTGTGAACTGGATGGATAAGGAGTTGGCTGAAGGACAGGCATAGTCGACGAAACATTTGCAGCAGGTGCTGGACTTGGTGTTGGTGTAGGAGATGTTACATAAGGTGACGATTGAGATGGAACAGTTCCATAGGGTTGGCCTTGTTGAGCTTGTTGAAAGGCTGTTGGTGTGAAACTTGGATTATTTTCTAAAAATCAACAAAAATATGTTTGGGGTAAGAGCGAAATGGAAATGAAACTTACCGTATCTTGATGGTTTTGAGGTTTCAGACCCAGGTGGTACACCATAATTTTGTTGTGAAAAGGAAGGACCAAATGGGTTTGAGGAAGATGATGCTGGAAGAAAATTTGTTCAAACTTCGCCAATTTTTGCAGAGAATGCATACCTGATGGCAAAGGAATCCCGGGTAAAGGATTGTTGATTACGGATGCACTGAATGGAGCTGGCTGGGGGAATGGGGAGCTTGAGCTGACCACAGGAGCAGGTGTTGGAGTGAGGCTTGATGAAGGTGGCCCTAAGGTATGAATGAAGAGGTGCAGCTATGTTTAAATGACTTTTTATAGTAAGTACCAAGGTTCAGATGTCGAAACTCTGCTATAGGGTCAGATCCCATCTTTGTAGCTTGCTCATATGATGG